CGTTTTAAAATTTAGTTTAAGTAACTACTAATTACTTCGTCCGCCCTACCAACTAAAGTAACCGTTTCCGTTTAGTACTACAGTAAAGTAATCGAACAATTATATAGACTAGCATTTATGTAGTTCATGGTTTGACTACATGCACTATTATCTTATGCTATCCTTAAATACTTAGAGAAAAACCTATAATATGAGCAAAATACAAGCTTGTCCATGTACTGATGGAAAATATGACTTTTTTGAAATTGACATAATTGATTTCTTACTTTTTACAATTCCAAACACACCTACAGTACATTTCTCAACACCCATTTTAGAACACAAGAGCAAAACCATCATTAAACCAACCAAAAAAGTGAAATCTCAAGATATAAACAACAATTTTCTCTAATTCTCCAGCTTTGAATTTCTCTATTTAAGTTTTAGAACTTTGTCGACCTCAACGATGGAGTTTCGAAGGGTATTTCTCATTTTAATTTCCTTCCAAACAGCAGTAGACTCAATATTTAGTACAAAATTAACTTTGAACAAAATTTTGGCTCAATGAATTGAAACTCAGCTTCTCAAACACCAATTTTACTAAAACCCCAAATTTAAGCAATCTTCTTTAATTTTTATCACAGAATGTTTCACGGAGTTCTCAAATCCTCACCAAATTTGGGATAAAAGCTTTAAACCACACTAAAATTAAACATCAAATATAAATTAGAGCAAAACATAATGATTTCATAGAAACCTATTTGTGTATTTTGTAAGCTTTTCCAAAAGCCCTTGAATGGTAAATCTAGAGACAGAGAACTTTTAAGCCATGGAGGAGAGAGAATCATACACACCTATTGTGGTAGAGAACTATATGTATACTTGGTCGAAAAATTCCTTTGCTGGATTTGGGTTTGAAGAAGCCTTCAATTCACTGGAGGGTTTTTTCTCATGAAGTTCTCAATGAAGAGAAAGGCGTAAGAAGACCATTCTTTTGATATGTATACTTTAGATTTTGGTATTACTTTTTAATTATAAAAATGAGCATTCGCGGGTTTAGTAAAATTATTGGAGGGAAACTAAATTGTCCCAATAATATTTTTTAGAAAGAACCGTCCCCACAGAGTTATTTTACCAAAATGTCTCCATAGATATCTCTGTGGCAACGGTTATGGTACTACCTCGACGGCTTAGTTTTAGTACTGTCTTAATAGGCGTAAGAGGCTATTGCGACAATTGTAACCCTTGCAATAGGCCATCTATTGCAAGGGTTCCATAATCGTTGCTAAATAATCGATGCAATAGGTGTAATTTCTAGTAGTGAGGGACTTTGAAAAACTCAAACACCTTAGTAAGAAGGAACCTATAAGGCAGCCCATGATTACCATCCTTGAAATCTGCTATCTTCTGCATGTGTTCTATCATGGTGGCAGGCAGGTCGATAGTTGTGTATCCATCAAGTGCTTCCATGAGAACCAGGTTTGCTCGAGATGTAATGGACCTTCTCTCAGCACGAGGGATCAAGACCTTGTGCACCATTTCAAACATAATTGGTACACTGGAAGGAGGGCCTTCTTTTGTACCCGTTCCCTGTATTGAACTGTCGCATCCTTTAAGATAGCATTTCTAAAGTTTGAAGTGCATGTTCCCTAAACAGAAGACAAACCCTCAACCGGCACACCCAAAATAGTTCCCAGCACAGCATAGTCCATCACAATATCAACACCATTCACCGTCATACATATGTGATCGTCTTCAACTATAAAGAAGTCGGCATAAAAACTCCACACTTCTTCCCCATACACTTTGGGACTGTCATCTGTGAACAAGTGTGTCCACTGTTGAAATTCACATATTTCCACCAATTGACGCATGCCAACCATTTTTAGAGTATTAGGGGCAAATGTATAGCCCCACAACACCTTTTGATTTTTCAGTTTTTCCTTCTCAGGACACTAGGTTGCATGAACCTTGACCTTCTTTGAGGAACCAGGTTCCTCACTAGCACCAGCCTTTCTTTTCACTGATTTTCGTGCACTCTTTCCTTTATCAACAGATGACACTTTGTCAACGGACTTCCCAACCATACGCTCACCAGACTCTTCAACCAGATTTTCACTAGATTTTTCACCATCGACATTGCTCACACCCATCTCACTCTCTTTCTCAACAGATTTTTCACCCTCAACCCTTCTCAACTCCTTTCTAACCACAGAAGACTCCCTTTGGTCTTTAAAACAGGAAGGTTCTTTGAGGACTTACGAACCAAGGAACCAGGTTCCTCTTCAACCTCATCATCAACATTCACAACTTGTGCAGGAGGCACTATCTTTTCATGGACAACCTTTCCATCTTTCACCAGTCTCCTCCTCTTCTTTTCCTTTTTACTTTTCCTTAAAACAGACTCAAATTCTTCCTTCTTTTGCAACCTCGTGATGTGTCTTTTAGACGTTGACCCCTGGGGAGGTGCCTTTCTACTCCTAGCACACAAAGCTCGCTAGAGCAACATTATCATAATCTTCTTCTTCACTATCCTCCTTTTCCTCCTCAGACACTCTCAGGGATAACTATGGACAAAGGCTCAGCATAAAAGTGATGAGAGGGAGCATGATCAATACTGACTTGGGTGATTGAGAGGAACCAGGGGTTGGCTCCTCTTGGGTACAGGGATCAGGTCCCTCAGTAGGTGCCCCAGTAGTACTGTCCGGTGCTGATGTTTCAACAGGCACTAGTTCCCTACTCTTCACTAGTGTACTATTTTCTTCCCCCTGAGACTCAGACACACCTTCACCACCCCCAATGATACTTCCCTCAGCAGCTATAGACAACATGTTTTCTATGGCTTCTTGTTCTTGTACCCCCATGATAAAATCAAAAGTAGGAAAAGTATTACCTGTAGAATCAAGGTCAGGGGCCGTCATTATTAATTCAGCAGGGATATGACAAACATCTTGTTCCCCCTCAACTTGTTCCCCCTCAAGAGCAGAGCTTTCTTGCACAGGCAAACTAGTAACTTCTGGATTTTCTTCTCTCTCTACAGTATCCTGTTCGACCATTGCTTCAAGCGAGGCAGAAGGAGTGGTCACAGCCACAAACTTTCTGGGAGTCGAAGTTATGCGACTCCAATGAGAACCAGTACTCGACTGGATCAGAGAAGTGGGTGGTTGTGACTCTGATTTAGGGTTTGGACTAGTTGGAGTAGGG